ACCGATAGAACTGGTTCGGGGGCATGGCCGGTCGAGTTACTACTTACTCGGTCCAAAACGGTAGGAACCCACCTCTGCCTTGGTTGTATAAACAAAGGCACAATCAAAATCACATGATGCATTGGTACCACTTTATAAAGCCTTAGTAAGGTCACATCTGGAATACTACATCCAATTTTGGCCATCACATTACAAAAAAGATGTTGAGACATTGGAAAAAGTGCAAAAAAGATCTACTAAGATGATTCAAGGCCTGGAGACTAAAACATATGAAGAATGGTTTCAGGAATTGGGTATAGCTAATCTAGACATGATAGCAGTATTCCAATATTTAAATTCCACAAAGAGGAGGGGTAAGTTTATTTTCCAAAGCACCAGGAAGCAGGACAGGAAATAATGGATGGAAACTAATCAAGAAGAGAAGCAACCTGGAATTAAGGATAAACTTCCTAACAGTGAGGGTTATTAACTAATGGGACAACTTGCTGTCAAAAATGGTGGGTACTTCATCACTAGAGGTTTTTAAGAAGAGTCTGGACAGTTACTTGTCTGAAATGTATAGGTATAGGGTTGCCTCTTTGAGCAAGGAGTTGGATTAGAATAACTATTCTGAATGATTGATTGATTGAGAGGATATAGAAATCTGCTGTTGGCTCAGACATGATTTGGAAGCCAATGAAGACTAAAAGGGGCAGCCATGTATATTTCAGTGGCCAATGCAGGCCAGTCAGAACTTTGGTTGCCCAATCAGCTAAAATTTTCTAGTTATGTGCTTCTCATCCACATGTGTCCCAATCCTAATATTTGACTTACTTGCTGATCTATGTTTCACCTTGATTCCCTGAATTTTCACTCATTATGTTGGTTTTGAAGAGATTACCTTCTAATATATTATTGCCCTGGCCACACCCATGCCCAGTTTAGCAAAGGGGGATACATCATGTGACACCGTTGTGACAACCTGAGTTTGACACCCCTGATTTATTGGGAGATCAGGGATTTGCTACCATTTCTAAACACAAAAAAATGTAGCAGTCAGAACACTGCCATGTTGGATGTGTGGCCCTTGAGTATAAGTGTTTACCGTTTTGTATTCATTAATGTGTGATTGCAGAACAGTAATTATAACTGAACAAAATATTGATTTAGCCCTACAGCAAAACAAAAGGATACAAATTGCCATGTAGCCTTCTCCCTAGTTAGATCAGGGGGGGGGGGGAATGCAAAAGTTTGCAACTCCATGAAAGCAATCAATGAAATAATGATGAAAATCTACTAATTGCAGTTTGCAAAAAGCTTTATCAGAACAAAGAAGAAAAGCATATTTATAGGCTATTGTGCTATGATTGAAAAAGATTGTCCTTTTCTTTCAAAATTACATTTAATGTAGATAGATAATTTATATATCAATGGTTAGAAAGTGGCTAGAAAAAATAACTTTGCTGGTTTCAGTTGATCAGATTTAAATTATTTCTGAAGCTGCTTTTGACAGTTGGGGAAGGGGAATAACCTAATAACAAAACTTTTCATTTTTAAAGGTATATTGAATATCTTTCATGCATTGTATTTTCATACCTCCACGACACTGAATAAAATATGAAGCATGCAGTGATTAGCTATGAATGCTATTTTTGTCATCATGAAAAAGGAAAACTGCCTAGTAGAAGTATTTGATTTCATAACACGATAGGACTGTTCAAGAATTAATTTTAGAGTCTCGTTTGGAATAAATAGCATATTGAAAAAAATGTTCAGCAATAACACAGTATTTCCTATTTTCTGAATGAGAAACTATTTCCCCCTGCCCCACTCCCACTCCTCCACCCTGTACTCTACATATCCTCTGCATTTTATTACTAAAGTGATAGTACCAAATGGTTTAATGTCCTAAAAATAAAAATAATTGATGTTACATAAAACAAAGGAAAAGCATACGGCATGAGCAATGTCACTTCATAATTCAGTGAAGGAAATTGATTTTGTTAGTCAATTATTGTTCCTTGACCAGAAGAGAAATGTAAATAAACAAAAGTGAATGTTCTTTTAATTATAGTTATGAAGTTGTATGAAGGTCTTCTGCATAGGAAAACCTTAGATAAAAAGTCTCCAATAAAGGTCTGTCTAGCTTCTGCCTTGAAGACCTTCACCAACTTATTCCAGAGACAGGGGAAAAAAGGTTGGGAAGGAAACATGGCAACCATGACACCAGAGAAGGGTTGCGGGAGTTGCAGTGGTTGTCCGGGAGTCATTAGTTCCCCTCAGGAGCCCTGCCCTGGGAGATTGTGGGGTATGAGTCTCTTCTCTTGAAGTTGGACCTAGGGGTTCAAGTGGGCTTGTTCTTGACGTACCTACCTCCCAGCTGCGTCACGACAGCCCTGCCTGTGCTGCTAGAGGCAGTAGCCGGGTTCCCCAGGCTAATGGTGCTCTCTGTTGGCGAACACTCTGAAGGGGCACAGGAGTTCATGGCCTCCATGACAACCATGGACTTGACCCAAGTAGTTCAGGGCCCAACTCATAGAGCGGGACACACACTCGACCTCATATTTCTCTCGGGGCAGTGGAGACGTGATCTGGAATTAAGGGGAATAGAGACCTCGCCCTTGTCATGGTCAGATCACTCCTTGCTGAGGCTTGACTTCAGGACACTACTCCCCCACTGCAGGGAGATGGAACCGATTAAGTGGTTCCGCTCCAGGCACCTGATGGACCTGACGGGATTTCAGAGAGAGCTTGGAGAGATACCTGACTCCCTTGCCCACAATCCGACTGAATCCTTAGTTGCTGCCTGGAATATTGTGGCGACTGAGGCACTGGATTGGATTGTGCCCTTGAGGCCTCTCCACGGCAGTGGATCCAGGAGGGCACCTTGGTTCACCGAGGAACTCCAGGAGATGAAGTACCAAAAGAGACACCTAGAGCAACGTTGGAGGACTAGTAACTCTGAATCTGATCGAACACTACTAATAGCCTTCATTAGGAATTATCTAGTGGCGATATGTGCAGCAAAATGTAGGCATTTTTCCGCTCTTATTGCATCCACGGAATCCCGCCCAGCCACCCTGTTCAGGGTGACCCGCTCCCTCCTAAAAGGTGAGGGGGTGGGGGAGCCCCTGCAGGGAAGAGCTAGGGAATTTGTTCAGTTTCTGTCGGATAAAATCACTCAGCTTCGGACAGACCTTAACTACACTTGGGCAATACCAGCCGAGATGCCGATGGTAAATCTAAGTCGGATTTCCTGGGATGAGTTTGAATTTGTCATCCCTGAGGAAGTGGACAAGGCCATGGAACAATGAATGCCTCTACCTGTTTACTGGACCCGTGTCCCCCCTGGCTGGTTTCGACCAGCAGGGTGGTGACACGCGGCTGGCTCTAGGCGATTACCAACGCTTCTTTGCAGGAGGGGTCTTTCCCGCAACCACTAAAGGAAGCGGTGGTGAGACCCCTCCTCAATACGCCTTCCTTGGATCCAGCAGTCTTGAAAAACTACCATCCTGTCTCCAACCTTCCTTTTTTGGGGAAGGTTGTTGAGAAGGTGGTAGCGCTTCAACTCCGACGGACCTTGAATGAAGCGGATTATCTGGATTCCTTTCAGTCTGGTTTCAGGCCTGGGTACAGCACAGAAATCGCTTTGGTCGCACTGATCAATGATCTCTGGCGAGCCAGGGATAGAGGGCATTCCTCTATCCTGGTGCTTCTCGACCTCTCAGCAGCTTTCAATACCATCGACCATGCTATCCTTCTGTGATGTCTGGAGGAGGTGGGAGTGGGAGGCACCGTTTTATGGTGATTCTCCTCTTACCTCTCCGGTAGGTCGCAGTTGGTGTTGGTCGGGGGACAGAGGTCGACCCCTAGGCCCTTCAAGTGTGGGGTGCCACAGGGTTCAGTCCTGTCCCCCCTCCTATTTAACATCTACATGAAACCACTGGGTGAGATCATACGATGGCACGGGATAAAGTACCATCAATATGCAGATGATACGCAATTGTATCTATCTGCCCTGTGCCAGCTCAGTGTAGCAGCGGACGTGATGTGCCGATGCCTGGAAGCTGTCAGGATCTGGATGGGGGTAAACAAACT